AAAAGAGAGGCAGCAGCTCTGAAAGTGACTTAGGTTCACACAGTGATGGACATGTAATGTTAACAATGAGGTGTATAGGTCCCAGTGAGACTTACTGTATAAATACAATGGAACTGAGGTGGCAATCACAGATGCACATTTCCAAGTGCATCTGTGCATCTAGCAAAGGCAGGGGAATGTCTGGAGGAGCTCTGTAGTGGTCCTACTGTAGACATTAGTTGTCCGGTCTGGGTACAGGGGCAAAAGACTAATTGAACCAGTGGCTGGTTTTCTCCAAAGTTTTCAGTTTCCCTGAGGATAGCTGGCATAGAATCACAGAATCATAGAATGATTTAGGTGGGGAGTGATCTTCAAGGTCATGTAGTTCCAACTCCCAGCTACAGGCAAGGACACCTCCCACTAGACCAGGTTGCTCAAAGCCCCATCCAGCCTGGCCTTGAACGCCTCCAGGGAGGGGGCATCCACAACCTCACTGGGATACATGTTCCACTGTCTCACTACCCTCACAGTAAAGAATTTCTTCCTAATATCTAAATCTACCCTCTTCCAGTTTAAAGCCATTCCCCCACATCTTGTCATTACATGCCCTTATAAACAGTCCCTCCCCAGCTTTCCTGTAGGCCCCCTACAGACATAGGCGGTGCTAGGAAGGCCATCCCAAGGTCCCCCCAGAGCCTTTTTTTCTCCAGGCTGAAGAGTGCAGCTCTCTCAGCTTGTTTTCGCAGGGGAGGTGCTCCAACCCTCTGATCATGTTTGGGCCCTCCTGTGAACCTGCTCCAACAGCTTCATATCCTTCTTGTGTTCAGGGCCCCAGAACTGGACACAGTACTCCAGGTGGAGTCTCATGAATGCAGAGAAGGGGGACAGAATCACCTCCCTCGACCTGCTGGTCATGCTTCTCTTGATGCAACCCAGAATATGATTGGCCTTCTGGGGTGCAGCAGCATACTGCCAGCTCATTCTGAATCTCTCATCAATCAGCACTCCCAAATCCATCTCCTCAGGGTTGCTCTCAAGCCATTCTTTGCCCAATGGCAGGGCAGTTTTGTCCAGTAAAGTGAATGACCAGGGGTCTTGAAGCTGAAACGATCTCAACCTATTCTCAAGCTTTCAGTGGGTAAGACACTCAGCTCACTGATGTGGATCTAGGCCATGGAATGCGAGTGCTCAGTAAGCCACTTTTGGTATGCAGGACTGATGCTATGGAATGAACTGAATGCCAGTTTAAGGTGCTCCATGCTAATGCTCATCAGAGCCCAGAAAAGGTGTTGGTTCATCTAGACAGTCACAGGACAATGACCACAGAAGTCATAACTTGCTAAGGAGTTTATATCAACTCACCTGTCCAGTCAAATAGCCCTGAAAATGGTTGGTGCCACTGCTGGTGGTGTGGAGCCATGAAGGCTACACTGTGACTAGTAGGAGGATTGTTTGGTGGCCTAGAAGTCTGGGGTATCAGCCCTGGTGAAGCCACCACTAATGCAGATCTTTGTGTCAGTAGCAACTATTCAAACAAACTATTAAAGGCCAAAGTGGAGGACAGTTCCATATGAATAACAGTTGAAGTGGGTCCTGTGCAAATGGCAGGAACTGGTCCAAAGGTGATGGCCTCTGTTCCCCTCAGCCAACCAAAAGGAAATCGGATTCAGATCTCCCAGACTGGAGTAGGAGAGACAGGTGGCCAGAGTTGCCCAGTGCATTAACACAAGCTATCCTGGAGATGCTACTGATAGCCATGGGAAGAGCTCTCTTTTCTTTTCTTTTTTTTTTTTTTTTTTTTTTGCAAAGGGCTGGACATCCTGGAATATGTTTGTCGCAGTGAGGCGCCCATGCCTTGGACAGCATTGCAAGAAAAAAAAAAGCCAATAAAATATTATTTTGGATGATGATACAAAGCTGGAAGGAGCAGCTGACACATCAGAAGGCTGTGCTGCCATTCAGCAAGACAGGCTGAAAAGCTGAGCACAGAGAAACTTTATGAGATTCATCGAGGGCGTACAGTCCTATACCTGGGCAGTAGTAACCACACAAATATGTAAAGATAGGGGCTGACCTGACCTACCAGAAAGGACAAGGACCTGGGTGTCCCGGCGAATATCAGGCTGACCAAGAAGGCACAAGAGTGTAAACAGCATGTTGAGGGAGGTTATCCTCCCCCGCTACTTTGCCCTTTGGGAGGGCTATATCTGAAGTACTGTGTCCAGTTCTGGGATCTTCAGTTCAAGAAAGACTGGGAACTACTGGGGAGATACCGGTCAAGGCCTACAGGGATGATTAGGGGCCTAGAAGAGTATCTCTTATATGAAAAAAGGCTCAGACCTGGGAGAATTCAGCCTGGAGAAGACTGAGAGGGGATTTTGGCAATGCTTACAGGAATCTTAAGGGCAGGTGTCAGATGGATGGGATCAGGGTCTTCAGTGGTGCCCAATGACAGGACAAGGGACAACAGGCACAAACTGAAACACAGGAAGTTTTGATGAACATGAAGAAAAACTTCTTTACTGTAAAGTTGACGGAGCACTGGAATGAACTGCCCAGAGAGGTTATGGAATCTCCTTCTTTGGGGACAAAACCTGCTGGTGCTTTCCTGTGCAACAAATTGTAGGAACATGCTTTAACAGAGGCACTGAACTAGATGATCTCCACAGGTCCCTTCCAAGACCTACAATTCTTTGATTCTGTGATTCTGTTCCTAAGAAAACATGCTTTGCACAGAATGATGCAAGAAGCTTAACTTCATTTATAAAAACAGAACTGATTGTGCTATTCAGTCTGAAAGAAGGATGTCAAACGCCTGGAAATTGAAGCTAGCTAGAGATCAGACAGCAAAGTTTTTAAACGATTATGCATAATTAGGACTACTTACTCTAGACCTGACTGGATATTTTGTACTTTAAGGAAAGATTAAGCATATTTGTAAAAATTACTGATCAACTGACCATAACTACTGCATTTGAAGGAATCAGGGAAGTTCTACAGACTTGGCTATGCAAGAAGTCAGACTTGGAGAGTCACAATGGTTTCTGTTGACTTTACATAATATTAGTCTCACTTACAAGTACATAAGTTGGTGAAGGTCTTTTAAGGGACAGTAAAAGGAATTTAGTCACAGAAGTGAGGACTGCTAGGAAACTGAGTAATTCTTTTATTATTTATCAAGTAGAAAAAGAAACATGCCAGGAACAGAAGATAAGGTTTCTGTGGAGAGAAGTGAGTAAAGAACAGAAAAATTACTGGAACGAAGAGGTACCTCAGAATAAGTTTAAGACAAAAATTAGATCATCTGAAAATAAGGAAGAATCCAAGAAGGCATGGCCAGCATCCCAGAATCCTGAAAGACAAAGCAGACACTAATAAAAAAATAGCTGCAAGAATTTTAACTCTTCAGTGACACCAAGAGAGGTATTTGCAAACAACCAAAAGAAGGTAATGTTAGACCAACACTTCAGACAACATCTGAGGGGAAAAAGAAAAAACAAAAAAAAGTCCACCTCATTTTATAGGTATAAAGAAATGAAAATGTACACTATTCACTGTAATTAATAAGCTAGGAAGAAGACAATACCCAAAAAACTAATTAATAGTTAGATAAGTATATTGAAGACGCTGAATTTGAAAAAGCAGGTAATATTAACAAACCTGGTTAATAGTAATACAAGGGTTTAAAAGTCTGAAAGGAGCAATATACTGATCACTGAAAAGTATATCTAATAGATTCAATATTTAAAATGCAAATTTATCATACTGTACAAATTCTGATGTTATCGATAGTATATCAAACAAAATTAAAACAACTTCTGAGTTTTCATCCAAGACAAGAACATAACTGAAAATGGATGCACAGCCCGTTCAGGAATGGGATGACAAGCAGCACAGGAAAGAAGAGCACCAAGTTTAATCTTGCTCACAATATACCAGCTACTAGGAATAGGTAGCAATTTGAACAACCTATGTGCAGTCTGCAGTTTTCATACAATAATAAGCACATAAAGCTATTAGTACTCCCTAACAGCAACCAAAGAGGGTGAAGGGTCTAGAGGACAAGATGTACAAGGCTCAAGTTCTGGGTGTGTTCAGCCCAGAGCAGGGCAGGCTGAGGGGAGGCCTGATGGCTGCTCCCTGTGAGGACAGGGAGTGGAGGGGCAGCGCTGAGCTCTGCTCTGTGTGACAGCGACAGAGCCCGAGGGAACGGCATGGAGCTGCGTCAGGGCAGGAGCAGCTGTGGGTTAGGGACAGGTTCTGCACCACAGGCTGGCCAAACATTGGTACACACTTCCGAAGGCTGTAGTCATGGCACCAAGCTGCAGGTGTTCAAGAAGTTCTTAGACAGTGCTCTCAGAAACATGGTTTGATTTTGGATGGTCCTTGTGGAAACAGGATCTGCAGTTGATATTTGTGGGTCCCTTACAACTCAGGTCATTCTACAACTCTGTGGTTCTATACTTCTAATAATTGAGTGTCCAAGAAAGTAAAAGAGGAATGATGCTGTATCCAAAGAAATTTGAGAAAACAGACAGGCAGGTAAGAATACCTACGAATAATATGTATGTTATACATATGTATGTATCCACATGAGATTTAAAAACTAATGATAACTGGATTAAAAAGAAAAAGAAAGGAGGATGCGTTCTCAGGCCTATTGAACTTCTAGATATTAGTAATGAAACAAATTATTTTGGTGGCAATGGCAATAGGATTCTTGAAAGCACCACTGAGAGCTGGCAGCAAATAACTGAGTGGAAAAGTCTACTATGAACCAGATATACCTGCACTGCTTCAGGCTGCAACTTACTGCTTGCTTTCAAACAACCAGATATGGAACTGAAAATATGGTGACAGCCACCACCTAAAGTACTGGATGAAGTCAGATTTTCCACATGTATTTTTTTCCTAAAGCAACCTATTATTTAGTGTAAATCAGCTACTTTTCTTTCCCTTCCTACAAAGTCACCAGGCAGCATATAGATCAGTATGCAACAAAACAAAAATATAAAACGTACTATTTTCCTGTCGTAGGATTCTCCACTGCTGTATGTTGTAGCTAGTGTGGAGGCACATTCTTCCAGGTACCATGGCTTCTTCCCGCTTTCAGCTGTGCTGCTTATGGAGATAGTGTAGATGCTATTGGTGTAGCCATCACAGGAGCAGTGGTCTCGACTCCTTCCACCATTTCCAGATGCCCAAACAAAAACTGAGCCTAATCCTCTTCGTCCCTGTTTGGAAAGAACACAACAGATTCGAATAATAATTCTTCCCCCTCACGCGTTTAATAAGCAAGCATTTGTACACAAAATCTACCTGATATGAGAAAGACAATAAAACAAGCTTTCTCACTGAGACAAACCTGAAATAAAAACACGATTTAGCAGAGTTTGGAATTAGACATAAATATAATTCAGAAAATGAGTAGGATGCACACAGCTTTAGAAACAACATTTCTACAGTGCCTATTTGTTGCTCCACATGTATGTTGTCCTGCCTTACTAAGAAAGACATGCTGAAAACTCAGAGAAAACATTGACATATACTGAGTTGAAACAGGAAAAGAAATAGCATACTTGTAAGTAAAACTCTTCGTAATTCACGCTACTTTTGGTCTATTAATTCTTCTACCTTTTTCTGTCTTCCTGGATTGCCAGAGGCATTAAATACTATTTGTGTAGCACTCGATACTGGCAAACCACAGTTTCATGGTTTCATAGACACTCTAAATCATGACACTCTAAATCACAGAATCACAGAACTTATGAAGTGGGAAAGGACCTCAGGTCATTTAGTCCAATTAATCTAGTCCACTGTAAATACTAAGTGCAAAACACAATATTTGAACAAAAACTGAAGAAGATCTGTACAAATCAAACACTAATGCATTAGCTCAGTGAGATATTTTATGCATTTGAATAGTTAAACAACTACTTAGGAATATTTGTAATTTGAAATGAGGACTTAATGTAGGTAACCTCATACTGACATTTTCTTAATATGGCAAAGTTATGTAGTGTCCAAATGAATCAAAGCGTATTTTCAATGATGCTAGTAATCTTGAATAGGCATTGATGTTAAAAGTGCAAATAGTAATCTACTTTGCTGATTCATGGCAACTGAAAATTCCCATGACTGACACAGGTCATGTAAATTGAAATTTTCCTGGTTTATATTTGTACATTTTATGCTGGTGAATTAAATTCAGATTCATGCAACTTTATGATCTCCTTTAATTATCAGCAGCCACTGTCTGGAAGCATAAAATTCAGGTAGGAATGCTCAACAAAGTTTTAACTTGTCTTTGATTAGGCTACATACTGCCACCTTCTTTCATAGGACATTCATGCCTAACTAATCTTGTGGTCATGCCTAACTAATCTTGTGGCCTTCTATGATGGAGTGACGGCATTGGTGGACGAAGGGAAGGCGACCAATGTCATTTACCTGGACCTGAGCAAGGCCTTTGACATGGTCCCCCACCACATCCTCATCTCCAAATTGGAGGGAAGTGGATTTGATGGGTGGACGACCCGATGGATAAGCAATTGGTTGAAAGGCCGCAGACAGAGGGTGGTGGTCAATGGCTCTATGTCCAGGTGGAGGCCGGTAACAAGTGGTGTCCCCCAAGGGTCTGTCTTGGGACCGGTGCTCTTTAACATCTTTATTAATGACATCGATGAGGGAATTGAGTGCACCCTCAGCAAGTTTGCTGACGACACCAAGCTGAGTGGTGCGGTTGATACGGTGGAAGGAAGGGATGCCATTCAGAGGGACCTTGACAGGCTGGAGGGCTGGGCTCGGGTGAACCTGATGAGGTTCAACACGGCAAAGTGCAAGGTTTTGCATTTGGGCCGGAAGAACCCCAGGCACCTGTACAGGCTGGGAGGAGCGGTCCTTGAGAGCAGCTTGGCAGAGAAGGACCTGGGGGTCCTGATGGACGAGAGACTGAATATGAGCCAGCAGTGCGCTCTGGCAGCTCGAAAGGCAAATGGGATCCTGGGCTCCATCAGGAGAGGGGTGGTCAGCAGGGACAGGGAGGTGATTGTCCCTCTCTACTCGGCTCTTGTGAGGCCCCATCTGGAGTACTGTGTCCAGGTGTGGAGCCCTCAGTACAAGAAAGACATTGAGATTTTGGAAAGGGTCCAGAGGAGGGCAACTAAGATGATCAGGGGGCTGGAGCACCTCCCCTATGAGGACAGGCTGAGGGAGTTGGGCTTGTTCAGCCTGGAGAAGAGAAGGCTGCGGGGTGACCTCATTGCAGCCTATCAATACCTGAAGGGAACCTACACCCAGGAGGGGAGTAAACTCTTCAAAAGGGCTGACAACAGCAGGACTAGGGGAAATGGATCCAAGTTGAAGGAGGGAAGATTTAGGTTGGATGTTAGGGGGAAGTTCTTTACTAGGAGAGTGGTTAGGCCCTGGAATGGGCTGCCCAGGGAGGTTGTGGATGCCCCGTCCTTGGACGTGTTTAAGGCCAGGTTGGACGGGGTCCTGGGCAACCTGATCTGAATGTGTATGTTTGGTGGCCCTGCTAGGCAGGGGGGTTGGAACTACATGATCCTTGGGGTCCCTTCCAACCCGGGTGATTCTGTGATTCTGTGATTCTGTGATTCTGTGATTCTCTCAAACAAAGGAATATCCTTCTAAGTAATAATTAAAGTAACATTTTCATTTATGCTTCATTTCTCTTAACATACCACGTAATATCTACCTGCGTTCTGTAAGAGCTAGGCACATCTCTGTGCATGATATTTATGGCATAAAACATCACTTCTTGTGCAAGAATTAATCACTTGGTCATGTAAGGAGCATTCATTTGTTTTTCTAGACAGAGTGCAATTGCTTACCACAAATAACATCAAGACAGGTGTAGGACATCTACAAGATCAACCTTAAACAATCAACAATTCAGAGATTCATTTAATCCAGATTCACAGAGGGGTTTCATTATGGTATTTTGTGTTGAGAACCTACATCAGTGTAAGACAAAACCCCCTCACAGTTCACACCATCCGAGCTTGAGTTCTCAACTGTTGATGAATTCCATTTTGTGAGTTTAATAAAAGTAAAGTACCTGGAAAGACTCTTCTCTCTAGCAAAATATGTTAAATATCAAATTCTCCTGGCTAGTGTTTACATAAAGTTATGTCTCTAAAATGCAACTTCTCATTAAAAAAACATTTCAAGCAGAGAAAAAAATTCCAGGGTGCCAAGTTAAATGTATTATGAAATCCACATTCTCTAGACAATATCAGCCTGACCAGCTGAGAAGTGTAACTATTTCAACTTCTTTCTTTTCCTTTAGTTGATCCTAGCTACTACACAAATAAAATGATGCAAAATAGCACCATTTTTATTGTTTTAACGAGAAGTTTCCTGAAGTGTTCTCTTCCTATAGCTCCGTTTTCCCACATTATGAACAGTTGACAAATCAAAACCCATTTTGGTTTGGGGTTCTTGTTCTGCCTCCACTTTTTAGACGGAAGATTTTGATTCAAAACTATCCAAAGTCAGTGGTATGTGCTTTGCAACTTCACAGGGCAGGAACCAGTTTACTGGTTCTTTCTCTTTCATTCTACTATCTAGTCATCTCCCTTTTTATATCTTTACTTCATTTAATCTGACAAAACAGAATATGACGAGGAAGTGCTTATGAAGCAAAGACATCACAGAATTCCTCACCAGTGTGGAAAAAATTGCACCCATTGCTATTCACTGCCATTTGGTGAATGTTTCTGGAGACTAAACAGTGGATGTGAGCATGATAAGGTGGTGGGTGGTGCATTTCAGCAGTAGTGACAGTGACAGTGCATCACATCTACAGTGCAGATCTTTGCAAGTACAGAATGCAGGCTCCTGTTCATTGCTGTTAAGAATGCATGGCTAATGGTGGTGACAGTGTTGAAAACTAGTGTTTTGTAGCTGCAGATTTGCTCTATCAAACACTATTATTGTGCTCTTTGTATTTGTTGCAATTTCCATGGAAATAAAACAGGAGGCAATACTTCTGGAGCAACCTACGTATTATCACAGCAGGTCACGGATACAGAAATTAGGGCCCTCAGTGTATCTGTGGAGAATGGAAAGGAGGGTTTTACTAAAGATACACTGCTGTTTCTCTACACTTTTATCTGTTCCTTCTTGATTTTTACTGGTTTGCTTCAGATTGCTCCCATCGTCTCTTGCAATTAGCTAACACTTTCCAGCAGTATTTTATTATTTGCTTTCATCTTGTCACTTCAACAGTAATTCTGGCTTGTCTGTCAATTGTGACATTCATTCTGGGGGTCATGTAAAGATTCTTGTCTTGACTTATGCTGCTCTTAAAAACCAACTTCTGTCTTGTACAAACCAGTGATGTAATACATGGACAAGCAGGCAGAGTAGATACTGCAAAGCATATCACACAGACACACAGGACTAGTCAAAACATTTCATCAAAATGTTTTGGTGAATTTTTTTTGTCTCCTGAAGAATTTTACATCGTCTCTTTCTTATGCTTTTCCTTTTAACACAGTATTATGCAGCTATGTTTGGCCTACTTGGTACCCCACTGGAAGCACACAGTAAACCACCAGTATGACCAGTGAAGAAATGAGAGCTGGAAGCTATTTTATTATTTTCTCTAAAAGTCTATCTCACACATTTTGTAAAAAATAATATTAGATACAAAAATGAATACATTTATACATAGAAGGAGAAGACAAAAAAATCTACCAATAATAGTCCACCTTTTTTTTTCTTTTTCTTTTTTTTTTCTTTCTTTCCCCCATCAAAGTCATCTGTTCTGGCTGATAAGTCTGTAGACAAAAGTATAACGTGACTTGTCCTTCTCATGCAAAGAAAACCATTTCACAGCAGGGTAGGGCTGCAGTTTGTGTGAATTTTGCAGAAGCTGAGTTATTAGCTTCTCCAAACAGAGAATGTGTCCATACTTCTTTAGACACATACTTCTGCTACTGTACTTATCATGAAAAATGAGCTGCAGAAAATGATACACAAGTACATTTTGGGGAACAAAATATAGCCTCATTGCTATATGATGTTAGAAATTCTGCAATGCATTATTTAAAAATAATATACACTTGTTTTTTTAAACAACTGATAACATGCATTTCTTACACACAAATGTCTCCTGTAAACATATTAGGTATCAACATCTCTGTCATTGCAATAAAAAGTAAGTACCAGGTTCACTGACTAATGGAAAAGAGTATTTACTAACACA